TCTTTAGCTCCTGGGTTAAAATCCTGGTGTGTCTGTTCGTAGGTCTGGTGGTTGGCATTCTGGCGTGAAGAGCTCGGAGCTGTGGGAAATAGTCACTGTATGAATGGTTTTGCTCATTGTCAAAGCCCTGCAAGACCTTGAATATCTGAGTGTTTCTAAACACTGCACATAGTCATCCGGTTGGTTGACCAGTCTGATGGAGGATGCCACCTAGACTGAGCTGCACGACATGCTCACGGCCTATGAAGTCCTTTGAGTGAGGGTGCCGAAGACGAGACCCAGTTGTGAGAGGTCATGGTGTTCGGGTGATTGACTCTTGTGCCTTGTTAAGACGGCGTTGTAGTTAGCCAAAGCCTCATTGTTGCTTTGGCAACGTTTATTGCGAGCTTGGTCAAGTAATCTTTACTAAGGCACTGGCTATAGTTCTGTTGTCTTCCAAAAGTTTGCAAGACGCTACCAGTGTTGGTTTGTCTTTAATAGCACCCCTGCGTCGGATATGGTTCTCACGAACCATACCCACATCTATTGATATTTCAGGGTTGTTGCTCCGGTACTCAGCTGTCGTGAAGTAGCTGACACTCCGGAGTATGCCTCGACAACGCCATTTGTTTAGGTTAGTATTCGCCTCTTCAAGTATCTCCCGTTTGGAAGCAGATGAACTTGTCAGAGATCAACTTCACCACACTCGTGTCCACGGCGGCCAGTTTATGTTAAAATGCAACTAGAGCCATTAGCCACGGCCATCATGAAAAAGGAAAAGGAGAATATACGAACCTTTCTTAGCCGCCAGTCTAATAAACTCAAGGTAGAGATGAAGACGTTCATTTTGAAGTGACAAGTAAGTCGTGTTCGAAGATGGGCTCGCCAGGTCCTTCATCTTGGGTAGCACGGACTGGCAGAAGTGCCAGCGGAGCAATTCGTCGGAGACCACTCTGTGGATGGAGTAAAGAGAAAGAACAGCTTTAGAGTTCTATGAGTTAGAGATTTCGGCCGCGATGAATTCCGGGAAGTCTCATTAAGACCAGTCTCTAGAGTAAGTTTGTAGGCTGATTAGACCCTGGTTCCCTCGACAATAAGGCGACGGATGTCATTATTCTCTCCCAGAGTATCCCATTAGGTCCCTGACAAATGCTGGTTGTTCCTTGATCAGAAAATTCTCGTCAATGGCATGCCCTTGATTCGTCTGCCAGTAGATCTCGATGCCCTTTTTTCCGCATCCAATCACAGTAGTCAAGCGCCGAATTGCAAACAGCACGACAGCGTTTGTGAAGCTTCTCTTTTGGAACATTAGGTATTGCATCAATTCCGAAGCTCTCAATATCATCTTGGCACCATTGCTGCTGACGGACTATTGAGTTTGTCTCGGACTCATCTTCGTCCTTCCAGGCTGGGTTACCATCGTCTCAGATGGCGTTGATGCTCGCTCAGTAAAATTAGCCGGTCTGTAGCACCGCTAGTTCGTTACACTCACCTAGCTTCGCTTAATCCCATGTTCGGTATGGTGTCCCCAAACGGTCCAGGTGAATCTTACGGTCAAATCCTGAGTATACCTCTTTCACTCGGGCGGTTCTGCCTCCTCGGTTGACCCTGACCACTATCCGCGGTCCGGTCCACCGCGATTTCGAGCTTCGACCGTGCGCTTACTCATTCAAATACGGTTCAATAACTCGAATTTGGTATCCGTGGCGTACCGTCAAGCCCTGGTGTCGGGGCGAAGCATTGCCTTTCAGCACCACGCAAGGCACAATGATGAGTAGGTGCCATTCCTACACTGCAGGTTAGCACGTTTAGGATAGGCTGAGCAAGCAGGATGGGTGTTAAGGACACACAGGGATCTAATAAAGACACAGTGATCAAGTTGAGCATTAGCCATCTGTTCGGGCCTCTGTGCTGGCTCGGCTGAGGGCGAATCGATTGCAAGACATGCAAAACTGCATCAGAGAAAATGACCAGGTTGGAGGCCTTTCGGGTCGGATTGCGGATCGCTCTTGGTATTGACTATAGAACCCCTCCTCCGACCGCCAGTATGGGGATCGGAAGTTGTTCTTGACAGTAAGCAGCTCAGCCACTAGGGGTTGGACAGTCGCGATGGTGACCTCGATGAACTGGCCACGTTTGAGTGGATGGTCCTGAGGGGGGCAGCCGCAGTTGCAAAAGTCTTCATGAGATCTGGTATAAAATTCTCACGAGATTGAAGTAACAACGACCTTCTCGTTGATGATGAGCTGATCATAGAGAGATAGGAGGGAGCGTCCCCCTGCAGAACACAGCAACAGCAATATCAGACTCCAAGTATGGAGCTGCAAGACCTTAGGTCTTAATCTCATAGGTGATATTTGCCCCCTTTGGAATGAAATTCGCCCCATCATGGATAGTGAATGCAGGGTCATCACTAGCTATCTAGTTTTTCACTCTGTAAGAGTGTCTTCCATAACTTCATCATCTTAAGTACTAGTATCAGTGGACTCAGACGCAGTGACTGTCAGACAAAGGCATAGTGATTGACTCTGACGAAGCCACAATAGGAGGAGGTGCCATTACCACTACCAAGGCTGCGGCTTGGCCATGGGGCTAACATTTGGTCAGTATTTGCATCATCATTCATTCAAACGATGTACTTACATTGCCCAAGCCCTCACGGCCATGGCCACGACCCCAGCCACGAGCTCGACCATAAGTTCTTGCGCACACTAAAAGACCTTAGTAAATACAGCAAGATGGACTAGTTACAGCCATAACATACAGCAGACAGCACACCATATAGTTAAAGTCCTGCTTGTACATATAGACAGTTGCGCTGAAGATGGCCTCTTTCTCCGCAATAGTAATAATGCAAAGTGATTCGCGGAGACATGACGATAAGGGGGGAGGATAACTTCCAACGTGACAGTCTTTCTGATGCTATAAGGACTGCCCACAAAGGGTAAGGAAACGGTGCTCGAACGGCTTGTCAACAACACTCTTCGACGTTCCTTCAGGGGATATGTACATGTTCCTGCACAATTGTTGCTGCATTTACCGAATATGAGCATATTAGGACCATGCATTTATCACGGCAATTGATGAAGTCCTTGATGAGTGCAAAGCGCTCCGGAAAGTAAGCCGCAGCATACACACATGCTCGGCATGGAACATGGTCCATATGATGGCCTTCTCACTATGTACGAGACTTGGTTCAGTATCGCCTGAAGTATCAGCTTTAGCACTCAGTGTAGTGGCTTTGTCAATCGCGGTTTTCAATGCTGGAACTCGTTTACCAGCGCATTCTAGAGGTAAGGGGCTCCGTGGCTTGTTCCATAGTGGTGGATATACCAATCTGCCATCCGCTACCATCTTCTGCAAAGAAGGACACGTACTCTGTGTCATCCTCTTCTCGGGGCTCGAGGCGCGACATCGATCACCCATTCTGAGCGAGCAGCTGGGACTCCTGCCTGTCTTCATTCATTAGTTAGAAGGACTTAGTCAAGTTGACTGTTGGGAAAACGGAGCAACAAACTTTCTGTATTCTATTCAGCATGTCCACCACTCATCTCCATCTTCTCCGATTTTGTCAATTTTGTTGCTCCCCGGCGATACTCGATTGCTGATCGATGCATGAATACTCAGTCATATTCATCGCATAAGATAGGAGCCATACATGAATGCCTGACGCTGGAACGTATAGCCGAGGGTTGATACGAGAAAGACTCGAGATTGACTGAATAGACATTCGATGAAGAATAAAGAGGTAAATATCCATTCACTCGGCAATGGCATAGTCTTCACAGTACATATCCAGAGCATTCAATAAACTGAACTATCATCACTATAAGCATCAAATGTCGAACAACATTCACCAGACCTACTTCCCACTCCCCAAATCCACGAACTCCCGAAAGCACTCCCCCTTCGCCCTCCCCCCTTCATCAAACACAACTCCTTCCCCCTCCAACAACAGCCTCTTCTCAACCTGATACTTCCCTCCCAAGATCCACTCCCCCTTATACCCCCCCAACGTCCCATTCATCGCCAGCACCCGATGACAGGGCACCTCTGGCGCAAACGGGTTCGTGCGCATTGCGTTCCCCACGGCCCGTGCGCTGGAGCCTAGATGTGCCGCAAGCGCCGAGTAAGTGGTCCAGCGGCCTGCGGGCACGGAGAGGAGGGTGCGGTAGACGCGGCGGCGGTAAGGGGTTAGGGTTGGATGCAGGGAGATGCGGTGGAGGAATTTCTTGGTTTGGGGGCTGAGGGACAAGCATTCTTGTGAGGGGGGTGTTGGTGTGAGTTTGGAGGGGGATTGCTTGGTTTTGGTGAGAGATGCCATAGTCAATTTTTGGGAGTTTAATCAATATGAACCACCAGGCTCTCTTCTGCAAGTAACAAATAGCGGTGATGCGATCTTTTGCAGAGGTGGATTGTAGGTGATCATACAATGTCCTTTATGTCTTATTAATAAGGGACTCCATCAGTTGAATGTTGAGACTCACTTACTCTAGTTTTCCTGACTAGTTCATGGAGTTTAAGAAGAGTGCAAATGGTTACGCGACTTGGTTTATATGAGACTGTTTGAGTGGCTCAAGACGTTGTTCTCAATGTAGCAAATCAGAGTCCTCCTGTTGAGTCACAATACGAGCCACTGCAGAGGGGCCGACAGAACACTCATTGCAATGAGCACACTGCACGAGTTCGGCCGGTATAGAAATAAAATGTAGTGTAAAGTCTGGAGGTACTTTTACACCATCTTGACGCTTAAGCTCATAATGATATCGCAGACATCAAAAGTGCTGCCCTGACTAGGAGACAGTGTATCACGTGACCGTTCTGGAACATTTATGAAACTCGACTCTATTCTCAATGGATAACGGAAGTTATGATGATATGTCTTTTCGTCATAATTTCTCTAGTAGACAACACAACCAACATAAGAAATATAATAAGGCGAAATGCTACATGTGGTTCGCTAGCGTAGCTAGGCTAGAGGAGAAAATACAGGGCGGCTGAGCAAGAGGATTTCAGGGAGTCTAGAAATGGATGGGCTTGGAGTAGGTGGCCATGGCAGCCTCCTTGAAGGCCTCAGCCAGGGTAGGGTGAGCGTGGCATGTCCGGGCAATATCCTCGCAAGAAGCACCGTACTCGACGGCCAGAGTGGCCTCGGCAATCATCTCACCAGCGTTGGGGCCGATGATGTGGACACCGAGAATGCGGTCGGTCTCAGCATCACCAATGAACTTAACCTGGCCCTCAGTGTCGAGGTTGGTCTTGGCACGAGAGTTGGCGCTGAAGGGGAAGGTACCGACGCGGTACTTGATGCCAGCGGCCTTGACCTCGGCCTCGTTCTGGCCAACCCAGGCGACTTCGGGGTGCGTGTACATGACGCTGGGGATGGCAGCGTAGTTGACGTGGCCGTGACCCTTCTTGATGTATTCGACGGCAGCAACGGCCTCTTCCTCGGCCTTGTGGGCAAGCATGGGACCGAAGGTGCAGTCGCCGATGACACGAATGTGGGGAAGCTTGGTGCGGTACTCCTGGTCGATCACAAGGCGGCCTCTCTCATCCTTGTCAATTCCAATGTTCTCCAAACCCAGTCCTTCGGTGTAGGGTCTGCGGCCGATCGCAACCAAAACAACGTCGGCATCCAGAGTCTCCTCCTTGCCACCCTTGGCGGCCTCAACACTCAGCTTGACGGTCTCGCCGCTGTCATCACCCTTGGTGACCTTGGTGTTGGTCTTGAACTTGATACCCTGCTTCTGCAAGATCTTCTGGGCCTGCTTGGCGATGTCGGCGTCCATACCAGGTCCACCGATCTGGCCAAGGAACTCAACAACGGTAACTTCGGCACCGAGACGGGACCAAACGGAAGCCTGTGTTTCAGAAACAATCAGTACGAGGAAAATTTCGAGTCGTCCGAATTTTCGTCATCAGGTTCACGTACCATCTCCAAACCAATGATACCACCGCCAATGACGACCATCTTCTTGGGGACCTCCTTCAGGGACAGAGCGCCGGTGCTAGTGATGATTCTCTTCTCATCAATGTTCAGGCCAGGGAAAGGAGTGGCCTCACTTCCGGTGGCAATGAGAATGTTCTTTCCGCGCAGAGTCTGTTCACCGCCGTCGAGCAGGTTCACCTTAACGGTGTTCTGGTCGACAAAAGCACCGGTACCCTTAATATAGTCGACACCGTTCTTCTTGAGCAGGAACTCGACACCTTTTGTGAGACCTTCCACGGAGGTGTCCTTGGCCTTCATCATCTGCTCGAGGTTCAACTTGACATCACCCACCTCAATACCACGCTTTTTTGTGTCATGGAGGACCTGGTGGTAGAGGTGGGAGTTGTTAAGCAGGGATTTCGAGGGAATGCAGCCGACGTTCAGGCAAGTACCACCGAGACGTCCACGCTTCTCGATACAAGCGGTCTAACCAAGATCGATCAAATGTTAGCAAAGGGGTCGGAATGCGCAAAGAGAATTCATATCCACAAAAGTGTCAAGACTCACCTTGAGACCTTCTTGACCGGCCTTGATAGCAGCGACGTAACCAGCGACACCACCACCAATGATAACCACATCGTGCTCTGTTATATTGGAGTTCGAATAATCAGCCGCTGCGCTTTCTCCGGAAGCGCAGGCACCGTCTCACGGATGCCCCAGGGAAGGAACAATCAATCACTTACCAGATTCAGAAGCATAGCCGCGTCTGAAGCGTCCATATACGGACAGAGAAGGAGCAGCAACGAAGCTAGAAGGGACGGGCTGAGGGCCGGCAGTGCGGAGGGCAGCCCGCGGTGTCGCACGCGGCAGCATACTCCGGAGCATAGTGTGCTAAATGTAGAGGGGAAAAAGATACCAGGTATAAGGGAGATTAAAAGAGATAGCCAATCCTCCAGATCAAGAAAACTGGGGAGGAATGGGAGGACAACAATTGGGGATGGCAGGCAAATAGTATAGGGAAAAGGATGTTGGGACGAGGAAAGCTTTCTTGAGGTTCTGGCAGCAAAAGCTGGCGGGCCGGTATCGATACGGTATTCATCGCGTATGTAATCATCCGGACCAGTGAGCATCGGGTCAAATCGGCTATCTATTTCCATATTGCCGGCAAGTGGTGCTTGATAATAAGACTTCACAGACATCTGTGGACAAGCGATATGGTATACTGTATAAGAGCGCAGACGTCTACGAGTTTAAAAAAATACTGTCAATGGTCACATCTGTAGAGTAGATGGGGAACAATGGTGGTGTTGAGGCCGACGTCAGATGGGTAATGCAGTATACCGGAACGGACTAATCCATACTGGTCAGCGGTAAAGGTGGATAAGATCTCTTAAGGCTGCGGAAAATCATCACCACCACCACGATACCCCAGACTCAGGAGGTCGAAAGCATCGGCCGTCGCCGATGATGAACTACTTCAAGGGAAACAGGCTGACTCCATATTATGCTTGCAAATGGTTGTCTGCCGTCAGGTCCTCAGAAGTGGCGAGTCACCCTCGATATTACACTTGTTTCCGCGGGTAACGAAGAGTAATGGCTACCATCGGCGTTCAGAGGCAGCGTGCATGATAAACGGTGCTTTGCTGGGCTTGTCGAAGAATGTAGTTATCCAGGCTCAATATCTGCCCACAATTATGATTTCGGGCCCCTCAAGAGGCAAGGCCGGTTTCTAAGCGCCAATTATCGCAGATGGAGAGTATATCCATTGGGGCTAGTAACCAGAAATCCTCAACTCCAGGGATGAAGCAGGAGAATTTATAATATCATGACCCAGAGATATGATGAGACTGACGAAGCGCTCGAGCTGGCTGTCCTCACAATATATCCCAGTTTAAAGTCCGACTCAGCGCAAGTCTAGGTTGGCGTGCGACCACAGACGTCGAGGCGTCATTTTGAAATTGTTAGGAGCATTATGGGATCAGAGCTTCAGAGTTCTGACTGACTGCGCACCTGTAACCACTGGACACAGAAGGTGATAGCATCCGAAAGAATCATTCACCACTGGGCCACGGTCATGATTCACTGCTCCCAGTTTTGTAGGATCGATCCATTTATGAAGTCACGGAGATCTGTAGTCCGTAGTGGAATCGATCCCTGTATAACGATTTCTCTGGATTCGATGCTAACGTAGTCGGGTCGTGCTTCATTTATGCCTGTCTTGTCTGTTGTCTCTGTACGAAGAAGGATTGTTGCCTCAGGCTCCAAAGGCATGTGCGTCAGGCCTAAGACTTTTCGTCTCCCATCTTCATCATGATAATTTTATGGATTTGGCCGACTTGAAAGAGAATATCATCAAAGGGTTGCTTCTAATCTCCTCTACGTCCTTGGCATCGTCATGGTCCCAATCAGTAGCATTAGGTCCTCTCAAGCATCCCAAACAGGCATTTCCCAGGCTCACAGTCGGGCCACTTCCGACTCTCCACCCAACGACCCCAGAATTCTCCCCTTTGCGCTCCCCGCAACGCCGACTCCATCCCGACTCGCCAACACCATTGGATAGAATGTGTCTTTAGCCCCAGGTGAAATAAGTCATCAATCTTTCCAAGGAAATGATAGCCAAAGAACCCTCGTGTGAGCCCGTATAGACTACCTATCTACAGGCTACAACGGCACAACGGTTTCCCATTAACCGAGTGTGCTTTAGAAACAGACTTCATCGCCTAGGGTATCACACTGACAGCAGCCGCTCTATGCTTCCAATGAAAAGTGCAGATTTCATCGAGGCTCTCAGCTTCTTGTCGAATGAATTCTGGTGGTATACATATTGTTAATGACGCACATTGGACTTGGCTCCGAGTTTCCTGCCATCTGCATCAGACTCCTCCCCGAACGCCTTACGCCCCCCGATCCAGTGACCGAATGCGACCATCGTCTGGCGCCATTGTGCCGCTGGCACATGCCCGGATTACCGATTTTGTTCAACCCTCTTTTGCCGGTCTATCTCCAAATCAAATCAACCAGGTTCCCATTCCGACGAGTCATAGTGCGTGTTTCCTTCTCGAAGTGGGGAATACGATCTCTTCGGCCATCTTTTACTCCTCGACCCCAGGAGCCAGACCTCTCCCACTCGGGATGTAACCAATTTAGTTGCCCTATAGAGAGCTATACTCCAATTCTTTAATCGGACCTCAGCCGATCCTCATCAGGATGATCGTCCTCCGCCGTCTCTTGCAGACCTGCACATTTAAATGCTGTGTACCACCCCGCAGAAAAGAGGATCTCTCAGACAATTGTGATCTCGCGTCGTCCACTCTCCACGGCGGGTTCATGCTGGCGTGCTCATCGTCCCTCAGGCTATTTTAAGCGCTCGAATCGTGATCAGACACACCTATTGTGTCTACTGCCCTTGGGGCGTCCGTCACTTCACTTGCAATTCTCCAGAGTCCATAAATTACCCTACCGTCAAAATGAGTGACCAAATACCATCATGGAATATTGTACACAAGCTGGAGAAAAAGAAGCTCCTGATTGCGATCAATTGTGTTGCTGCATTGTCAATCCTCTTCTTTGGTTAGTCTGCCGCGTAGCATCATTAACGCCTTTACTGATCAGATATTCAGGCTATGACCAAGGAATGATGGGCGGAGTAAACAACGCCAAGGACTACATTGATCTGATGGGTTTTGGTTACACCGAGATGAAAGATGGCCAGCCCACTCCAGTTGTCACAAATAGTTTGTTGCAGGGAGGAATTGTGTCCGTCTACTATCTCGGAACGCTCTGCGGATGCCTCCTTGGTGGATGGATTGGAGACTCTATTGGTAGAATCAAGACTATTGCTTCGGGCGCTGTGTGGGCCATACTCGGCGCCGCGTTGCAATGTTCAGCACAGAATCACAACTGGATGATTTGCGGTAAGGCGTCATACTCAAGATCAATGGATAACTTTGCAGTGGCTGATCAAACTCAGCCCGATTCATCAACGGGATTGGCACCGGTATTCTGAACGCAATCGTGCCGGTCTGGGCTACGGAGACTGCCGAGCACACTTCTCGCGGACAGTTCATCGCCATCGAGTTTACACTCAACATTTTCGGTGTCGTTTTGGCGTATTGGCTGGAATTGTGGGTGCCCTACTCCTCTCCCACTTAGTCTGGAGGAGCCGTTTCTAATATGTAATAGTGGTCTATCTTTCATCGATGGCGGGAAATCTCCCTTCCGTTGGAGGTTCCCAATCGCCTTTCAGATTATCTTCCTGCTCGTGTTATTCGCGGCCGTTTGGTTCTTCCCAGAGTCCCCAAGATGGCTAGTCAAGGTTGGACGGGAGCAGGAAGCGCGCTATATCCTAGGTCGTCTCCGTGGCAGCAGTGACGATGACGCAGTCCGAGCCGAAGCCGAGTTCCGTGACATCCAAAGCGTGGCGGAGCTTGAGAAGACGATAAACCATAGCAATTCCTACCTCTCCATGCTTTTCGGTTACAAGAGCGGGAAGTTGCACCTGGGACGCCGTGTGCAGCTGGTAATTTGGCTGCAGATCATGCAGGAATGGGTCGGCATCGCCGGTGTCACAGTTTGTATGTCGTTGCCCTGCGTCAAAACGCCTGTATATGATTTCAGCCTGACTGATGTGTCCAGATGCACCGACTATTTTCAGTATTGCCGGGTTCGATTCGATGAAAAGCCAGTGGATCAGCGGTCTGAACAACATTTTCTACATGGTCCGTCCCCATCATCCCAGAACTTCAGACTTGTGTCTAATTGCAATTCTACAGTTCGCGACACTTATCTGTGTCTTCACTCTCGACCGTATTGGCCGTAGGTGGACCCTCTACTGGGGATCCGTCGCCCAAGGAATCGCCATGTTTCTTGCTGGAGGCTTCTCCAGGCTCGCAATCAATGCTAGGGAGGCCGGAGATGTGAGCAAAGCAAGCTCATACGGTGCGGCCGCCGCCTCGATGATCTTCATCTTCACCTCGGTCTTCGGCGCCACATGGCTCACTGGTACTTTCAACCTCCTGTCTCCACTCACCCAGGATGTCCGCTAACATCTCACCAGTTCCATGGATCTACCCCGCAGAGATCTTCCCCCTAGCTGTCCGCGCCCGAGGAAACGCCTGGGGTGTGGTAGGATGGAGTATCGGAAACGGCTGGCTGGTCAGTGTTCCACAATCCCTCTCTTAGCGAATATCAAACTGAGACATTCATAGACCCTCCTTTGCCCGGTGATGTTCAGCTCCATCGGCGAAAAAACCCTGTACATCTTCGCCATCAGCAACGTCATCACGATCCCCATGGTCTGGGCTCTCTACCCGGAAAGTAACCAGCGGACGCTGGAGGACATGGACCTGCTTTTCGCGGCTGAGACGCCCTGGGTGTGGGATGCGGAGCGGACCTTTGCGCTCCTCAAGGCTGAGAACCCTGGGTATATTGAGACGGCCGGTCGGAAGAACAGTCTCCTGGATGCCGAGGCTGGTGCCGGTAAGCCTGCTGCTCAGACTACACAGCATGAGGAAAATGTCTCGTCTGAGTAGACACCCCCTGGAATGAAGACCTTGAGCCGGATAATGCAAGATGGGTCCCTTGGTCTGAAGACGAAACGCCGGCTTATTAGTCCAAGATAACGGATCATGACTCGTCTCAAGGATCCATCGCTTTTATACCCCATTGAACGAATGAATGTCAAATAATGCAATAAAAACCAATCTAATCCAGAAGACCAAGACCAGAAAGTACCAGACTCGAGATAAGAACTAGTCTACCTCCTATAAGCACATCCCATCCTTCCCCTACCCATGCACATCAACCCACCCGGCAACGGAGGCCCATACGGCCGCCGACACATACATACCCGTGTCAAACCACGACAACCCCGAAACCCGCCACTG